TAAATCAAAGTCTTCATTGGGATTCAATTGTTCAGAGGGAATTTTGAAAACAGAATTTGGGTTAAATTTGTTACTATTTCTTATCCTGTTAAGAAATGTTTATTTTTACTTCCAAATATACCCTAAATCTGTACCTGTGCTTCTGAGTTTATCCTAAATGCAGTCACTCAATCCATTTTATAGGGTACCCATTTAAATGGAACCCTTTCATCACTCAGCCAGCAAAGACATTAGAGGAAACTGGTCTAAAGGCATCTGTCTTAAGAAAGACTCCTGTAGCATTTAGTGTGTTTGGAATTAGGCTGTAAATCTCACATGTTTGAAGTTGGGAACTGTTCCTTGTGCTGTTTGGCATAAGGGAGAGGTTGGTGAAGCTGATGCATTACATTCCAGGGAACATCTGGATTTGCTTGAATGGTTCAGCCTGAAAAAAAATACATATCCTGGTCCCAGAGTAACACGTGAGCACGGAGTGTTCACATGCCAATTTGTGACTCTAGAGCAAGAGAAAGGTCTCTCTGATTTTAAGAATGAACTACCAGTTCTGCAGTAATATTTTTTAAGTTACTGCCTGTGGATTAGTTGTTCCTGTAGTCCTGTAATGCATCTAGTTCTGTGTAAGAACTGAATACAGACAGGGAAGTTGTTTAAAACGGCAGACAGATAAACACCACAACAACCTTGTACCTTCCTATCATCTGTTCTAGCATAAGCAATACTTTTTTAAGAGGTAAAAGCTTCTAAACAAGTAAACAAAACAATGTTCTTTTATTTGGCTGTTGCAGTACATTTAAAATGATGATGACTTGAAGACCTGATTGCACCTGATAGTTTCCAAGTCATCATTTTATAGTTCCTATCAATGTCCATTTAGAGAAAGATCCTTAGCTCCTGTAACACAAGACACTGTAATTCTGCCCAAAAGTGTATTTGTAGAGTAGGAAAGATATGGTCTGATGCATGTCCATCACAGCTTGCAAAGAGTAGCAGGAAAAGAAGTGTGAACTGGGCAACTGGATGAGCACAACGAAATATTTATATTATACTATGAAAGTTCTCACACAACTCCCCCTCTAACCACATGTGAAGTCCAGCCACTCCTCACAGCAGTCTCTGTAATGTTCGTCAGCTTTTCATGTCCTTATCTCTCATGTCCTGGTAAGTGAGCTTAACCTTAGGCCAGGGCCTAATCAGTGATTTAGTCATCTGCTTGCAGCTCTAACAGTCCCTCTTCCTCTGGTAGCATCCATCTGTTCCTTCTCTTTTTTCCCTGAAGACTTCAGAGTGTTGCCTTAATTTAACTGTGCATTTTAATGCTAAAAGTAAAGGACAGACATACGTAGTCGTGCTCTCAGGATGCAAGATGAAGTGCCTGGTGACCAGTGCATTCATCCAAAAGCTCATGGCTAACTGCAGGCTGTGTGCAAGAAGGCTGTCCAATTCCAAGTAGTTTTTAAACCCTTTGGAGCAGCAAGGTGTGATGGACACAGGCAAGGAACTGACCTTTTCCATAGGGAGGTTGGCTGCCAGAAATCAAAGGTGGGGGAGACACTTCCATTGCCTTGGTTTGAAATGAAGCTCAGAAACGTGTTTGTGAGCGTGGCACATTCCTGTGTTCCTGATGGGTAATGTGCCAGTGCATTACCCATGCATTACCACCACCTGGGAATCCAAACACAAACAGGAAGCGCTCGGTGCAGCAAGTGCTCAGTGCCAAACCCGCCACTGCTGCCTTGGTGGTTGGGTATAAACTGAAAAGGGACAAGCAATATTACCAGCAGAAGAAATAACCACTCTCATTGCTATAGTTTTGTTCTGCTGTGGACAGAAAGGCCAGGTTGAAAATAAGAGAAAAGAGCAGAGCAAATTCTTTTCCACACAAGAATGTGATGGACAGGAAATTAGTAAAGGACAAATGTAACTTTATAACATCTCTATTTCAGCTAGGAAATATTTCTACCTCCTGCCACCAAAAATCCCCAAACTAACATGGACAAAGTGTTTTGATGTTCATTGACAGTTTTCAGGTCCTTTTTTTAACTTCGTGAAAACATTTCAGATTATAACAATATCCTTTGCTAGAATTCTGAATATTGAAAAAAAGTCTTTTTTCCCAATCTCACATGCTTGAAAATAGGTTCAGGCTCAAACTCCTAAAGTGGAGTTAAAGTGTGATACAGGAACACATAGAATTAGTCCCATCACGTTCTCTTGTGATTACCTCATATACCATCAATATTGCATGATGTTTAAGCTGAGATTTCCTATTCCTGAGCCAAACTTGGAGATAAACCCCGGGGTTCTCCTGCAGCTGCCAAGAGCAGATCCATCATTTCACCAGGGCTGCAGAGGGATGTTCTCCTGTGGGATGAGCCCTTGTCCTGGGCTACGGCCAGCTGGGCCAATGCCAACAGGGGGGAGGAATCACATATTGATAAACCCATTGCAGCTGTGCATCATCTTTCAAACCTTCAGCAAATTCCAGTGGGAACGTTTCCTGGGAAAGGGCTGCAGTGCTGAATACATTGTGCTGCTAAACTATGTGTGTCTTAATGCAGAGAAAACAGACAGGCTCCGATAGGTTTGGCTTACATTACACAGCCAAGTGTGGAACAGAATCTATCCCAGAGTTACCCATGACACTAGGGAAATAGCAATCCCTTGTATTTAAATAGCTTCTTTCATCCAGACAGACTTTTCTTCCAGGTAGACTCTTGTCCTCCTAGATTCAGAGCAACTTTTAATTGCATGGTTCACATATATCTCTTAGGAAAGAAAAGAGTTGGTGTAGATATCTGGAATACTTGTGGCATTGGCTAAGTTTGGTCATACATTTTAACTTCAAGAGATGAGACAAGGGCTTAAAAATCACTCCTAATGTCAGACTAAAGGACATTTCTGGTTAATATGATCTCAGTGTGATGATACTGCCACCCTTTTTCTGACATTACTTCTTCACTGGCTTTCTATAGAGGTGCTTCAGTGCAGAACAAATCGTTAAACCAGGTTCCATTTAACCATTTAGAAACCTATTCATGAAGTCATATAATACATGGAATGAGGGAAACTCTTCCCTAGAATTCATCATACACTTATCTATCATTTTTAATCCAGACCATTTCAAAAGCCCTTTATCACTGGCTCACTGCTGTGGAAGCTGAATCACTCTGTGAGAGGCAGACAGGATCACTCCTCAGTTCAGTTGTTTTGCCTCCACAGGCACACAGCCCCTGCAGGCAAATATGTACGAGGTCAGAGCATTCCTTCAAGGAGCACTGGCAATACTGGGATGAAAGTTATTGTACTTGACTTTGGCAGGGTCAGAACCAGCAATAAATCATATACAGAGGCCAGTGCACATTACCAAGTGTAGGCAGAGAAGGCTTGAACACCCTTTATAAACCCTTTGAGAGATGATCATTCTGCTGAGACTTTTGCCAGCAACAGTAAAAGATGTTATTAATTACAGGACAGGATGTGCAGCATCTGTGCACTTGTTTAAAGTGTGTGGGAGTGGCTTGGAAATCAAACTTGTCTCCAAAAAAGCAGCCAGCTGATTATAACAGCCTTTGGCTACAGTCAGCTTCTGCTATACCTGAGCTGTGCACAAAAGAAGTGCCAGCCTGGTACTGTTTGTGTCTGATAATATCCAGCATACTTTTGTCTCCAGGACAGCTACACATGAAGCTCACCCAGGAAGATACTGAGAAGAAGGTCAAGGAGGGAAGGGAGGATAGTGAGCAGGCAGCTGCTTACTTAGGCCCGAGACACTCTATATTGATTAGGATTTAGATTTGGTGGAGGGGTGTTGGGGGTGGTGTTGGTGCCATGCATTCAGTTCAGTGCAGACCAGCAGCTTCTCTTCTTCAGAGATCTCAAGTTAAACTTATTCACCACCATCACACATTACACTGATAAAGCCTAAGCACAACCCCAGTGTTAGATGTATGCAGGACTTCAGTAGCAATTCCTGAACTCTCTTCACAGGTGGGATTTTTACCTGTATTTTCTGCCACATAGCAGCACCTGCAATCACCCTTTTCAATATTTTTTGCAGGGTCATTGAGGGAATAACAACTGTCATAGAGTGCCCAAAGCAATAGCTGGGAACAGAGGAACAGTGCTTAGAAAACACCTGGCAAATATCACTGTTCAGCTCTGTCTCGTTTCTGTGGATGCTTTATTGTAAATACACAAGGCTCAGGAACTTTTTGTTTTACCCATACATATTCTAGGTTTAGATATCCTAAAGAAATACTGTTAATCGTGGACACCTTGTATTTCTTCTGCACAACCAGGATAATGATCAGGACATACCTCTGATATGCTCCAAACTAGAGTTTCCATCCCCTTTCTCCAGCAAGGAGCCAAAGGCAGCGCAGAAGGAAATCTGTATTTAGAAGAATGGCAATACCATGTGCAAAGGCACGAGTAGTAGTGACCCTGTTCAGGTGTTTTGGTGTCTGTTGTTCCTCAAACACCAATTCACAGCATAACAAGTGGATACTGACAGGCTTAGGAAAAGCTGAAAGTTTCAGCTTGGGAAGAGCTGGGACTGTTCCAAAGGAAGTTCTCTCCCTATCTAAAAGCAGGGTTGCATAGAAAAAGGAGTCAAACCACAAAAAAATTATCACTCCAGGTAATTGCACATCCATTTCTAGCCAGAAGGACAGCACCCCCTCTCCCTTCAGCCCTCGTGTAGCTGAAAAGACAGGACAGGGAAGTTTTAACATGCTGTAGTTAGAAAACCCAAACACTCAAGCTCAGGTACAAATCCCTTCAGTCCCAAAGTTTAAAATGTAAAATCTCACAGTCACCAAGCTACAACTCTTGACAGAAAGTTTTTTCATTTCCATAATCTAAGGAGAATAAGTCCCCCCCCCTTGAAATAAGTGTCAGTGAAAGATAATCCAGTAATTAAAGTGACATCAAACTACCTATGTTAGAATACTTATTTATTGTCTGATACAGTTTAACAAATTTACTGAAAACTAGGAAAACAATAATAACCAGTGGCAGCTTTGTACTTATCCCAGATTCTTGCTGCTATAGGACAGTTGCTCCCACATGCTCAAGAGGTGTAAAGAAAGGCTTTGAAGATAGCATCAATGGAAAAGAAAGCAGTACATGTTCCTCATCAGTTCCTCTGGAGGAACACTGAGGCACAAACAGCTCCATCCTGTTTGACTGCAAGAAGCAGGTGAGCTGCAGTAATGCTCACTCCAGATGAGAGGTCTCCATTAGACAACCTCTGATAACCTCCAGAGCTGAAAGATCTCAAAGATTTTTTTTTTCTTCATTCCAGGCATTTGATATTCACTATTCACATGCTATATGCTATGCAAAGTAATTAACTATATCAAATCTCATTAGGACAAGGGGATATGTATATATATATATATACACACACACTGCAAGACTTCAAAACAGCTGTTCTTGTTTCATCAGCGCTGCTCATCTCCCGTTGCCTGGTTGTGTTCTGAAGCCTTTCTGGACTCGTGTTGAATAGAAGAGATGGTCCTGTGGGTCTCAGCACATGGAGCAGTTCAGTTGCAGCCCCACCCTGACTGCAGTCAGGCTGGTCACTCAGAGCCCAGCTGTGGTCTCGGGTCACTTGGCCGAGTAGTCTGAGGGGAGCACCTTGTCTCTGCAGAAGGACCTTCTGGTCTCCTGGTGGGCAAGTGAAAGGCTTTATTAAGTTCCAGGAGAGACTGAGCAGAGCCCACTGTCACCACGTGCCACAAAGGCTGATTGATAATTAAATCATTCAGCACCTCAGAGGTCCACAGATTTGTTTTTTTAAATGAACATTTGCAATACAGCCTTTGCTTTTCCATCTGCAATGCAGGAGAGCCTGGCAGAGCTGACTGAACTTGGAGCACTTGCACTATTTTCAAGTGACTGAGAGAACTTGAAACCCTGGTACCCACGAATCCTAAAATTTAGTTAATTCCATCCCAAAGTTCAGTTTAGGAACCAATCAGGCCTCCTGGATTTCCCTAGGAGGGGGCACTCCAGGCTAGGAAACATGCCCAGACTGTGTTAGACAGCTCCAGCAAAGCCTCACACCTATTGAAAGGGGTAGCTTCTTTCTTCTGGGGATGAGTCAAATAATCCAGGCATTAATTAGGGTATCATGCAATCTTCACAAATTCCTGCACTCCTTAAGAGTTTCCAAACTCCTGAACAGATGGAAAGGTGCAATATGCAAGAAAGAATATACAGGCTGTAAGTACGTGCAAGTCTGCTGTTTTGTTTTTTTTCCCAGCAGTCCTTATTAAAGTCTGGCTTAAGTAACCTTACAGCTGGGTAATAATTCCAAGAGCTGCTGATCTTAGGGAAGGTTATGGTAACAGATTATTTTCCTGGTACCACCTTCAAGATTTGACCACCACTGGTGTCATCCCAAACCAGAGCAGCAGCAGTGGCTGGTGGCAGGGTCTGGGTGCTCAGTACTCACATGACAGCCAAGGACACAGCAGACAGAATCCCAGCAAGCAGAAGGAACAGGAGCACACTCAGGATGGAGGTGATGACAATCATGGCTCCACTCCTTCGGCCAGGCCACGTGTCAACTTGCAAGGGAAGTTTAACTAGGAAAGCATGGAAAGAATGTTCCTGTGATCTCTTTCTGGCCATGAGCACCCCCACCAAGCAGGAGAAAAGCTGGTGATTTAGGAGAGGCAAAGTGATTCTATCTGTACCTGAAGACTTCAGTGATTTATGGGAAACAGGTTTAAGACTCAATGTCCGCATTTAAAGTTTATGAGCTCTGCTCAGCAGGTTTGCCACGATGGCAAGTACCTCTATTCCTGAGAAATGTCAACAGCACCAAATACCATGACCTGCATCAAATCTGAAACTGCACATGCAAACCTTATCTTTATTAAAAGAATTGTTTTGAAGTACACAAAAGTAGAGAATTATTCCAGATTTAAACCTGCTACTCCAATATTGAAAGGCTGAAAAATAGCTAAAATTTTAGGAAAGGATTAGTTGTAGCTCCTAGAGCAGTAGTGTCCTAAGCCAAACACAGCTATTCAAAAGCGCTGAGCAAAGCCAGACTTACCTCTTCTGGTTTTGATTGGATCAGACCAGAGAGTTTGGTCTTTCACAATACCTTCAGTGCTATCTATTAGCACATACTTAAACCTGTGGGGAAAAAGAGTGTTAAATGAGGTATTTGTAATCTCAGCCCCCTCACTAGCATGTTTAAGACACTGGATTAGCTGGCCAGTCTTCAGGTTTTGTCAAATCATTAGATGGAGACAGTCAAAGGCAGCTGACTATTTCCAGAGATCTTACAAAGTACAGATAGAATTCATGATGGAAAAGCATTCTGTGTTTTGTCATGCACAGCCTGCACTTGGTTCCTGCGAGCCTTGGCAGATGACAGCTTCCCAACTAGTTTTTCCCGGCTTGCTATTCTCTGTTGTGAAGAGCCTCGTTATTTAGGACAGCAAGTGGTTCTGATTTCCATATGGAGGTCAAAGACTTTGTCCAACAAAAGAGACCTTTGGCACTTTCCCTGCTAGAGGAGAGTATTGAAGAACCAGGCCAACATCAGATTTGGCAAAGAAATTATATTTACATTCCACAATTTCAGAAATGAAGGGAGAAGACAATTTTTGCAAAACTAAGAGCCCATGGGCTTTTCAGAAGCATTTATGGCTCCATGTGACTGCCATTTTCACTCTGGTTTACATAGCTGGCAACAGCAAAACAAGTGTTTTGGGTAAGGGCTGTCAGGGTGCTCCCATTCCCTGGATGGCCAGGATGCAAGGTTAGACAAGTCTGCAAGCTCCCTGGTTCTCACTGTGAAGTCTCCAGCAGTATTAGGGGCTTCCTGGAGAGCCGAGGCCAAGGAGAACTTTGGCTGCCCAGAATCCCATCAAAACAAAGCAAGCAGAGCCAGATCCACATCTTCAATTCAGCAAAATCACCAAATGCAAAATACACAGTGAATAATCTCAACAATTTTCCAGTTAAAATCCTTTCCTACCAGCAGTTTTGAATCAGGTGCTGTCACTGAATTACATAGGAGTAGATCTAGCAGTTCACACAGGAATTTGCCTAGTGGCCTATGAATTTACCCTGTCAGAGCTCAGCCCTGCTGGGGCACCATAGAGCACCCTCTGCAAGGTTCTAGAGCAAAGCGAGCCACCTTCACACCTACACTTGTAATAGAGCACTTCAGTCAGGGGCTTGTAATCCACATTTTGCCTTTCCTGAGGCACTTATGGGCTCAGAGCTGCATCCCACTGTGTTTTAAGAGCAGAAATCACCTTCTAAGAAATGAGAACGATACCTGTAAGTCGTGTCTGGTGCGAGAGGGGGATTACAGACATCGAGGAAGTTTGGGTCATACAGACAAGTCCCGTCATCTCCAACTCTGAACAGGTATTGTTTCAGGACATCAGAAACTTTGCTGACATCTCCTGCATCCACAAGTCTGGGAGGGGATGCACAGCTGGGTACATGGAATGCAGCAGCCTTGTAGGGCCCGAGCTGCCCCCCATTTGTTTGCTGGAAGGTGCTGTCCAGTGGTTTGCTGCTGCCATCAGTCACCAGGGAGCCCATGGCACTGGCTGCAGGAGAGATGCTTTTTAGCAAGGCTGTTAAAACAAGTCCAGCCCTTTCTATTCACCCTCTGTTTGCTTGGCATCTTGCTCTTCTACCCTAAAGCACTCCCAAGGGAAACCAAAAATCAGCTACTAGTTTGGCTGTGTCTATGATTCTATGATCCCACCCCTTCCTGCATAGCTGTTGGTCAAGTTTTCATACTTGTCCCTCAAACTGTGAAGGATCTCAGAGCTACCCTCCCAGAATTCCTCTTTTCCAAGGAGTATGTGGTGGAGTAGGAAGGAGGGTGGCACAGGCTGCTCTTCCCACACACCACATATGGCTCTAATAAAGATCCAGTAAATCCTGCCCTTTCAGATTTGATGCTACAGCCAAGGCAGAGCTCCTGAGTCACAGCTCTTGTCTCCTGGCACACAAGCCCTTCGGCCTCTGGTCACACAGCAGCTGGACCTCCCACAACTGCAGGGTGTAGAGGCTACAGGAACATGTGTGTGCCTCCATTCCTGGCCAGCCAGGCATTCCAGTGCTTCCAGGGAGTCTGAAGGCCCTCCCAGCTTCCAGCCAAGCATGACTCTTGTGTTCAGCAGGCTTTGGAAGCTTAGCTGCAGTTCTCAGCCCTTCCCTGCTGCAAAGCCAAGGCACGAGTCCCAAGGGATGCTCCCAAGTTCTGTAACTGTGGGTTAATTTTTTCAGGAGAGCCCCTCCAGCTGCTCAGTGCTGTCAGCAGGGCAGGAATGCCAGTTTTTCCCCAAGCTGTGGTACAGTGGGAATCATTTCTGCCTGGAAGCATTCTGCTGGAGCAGAGTTCCTGCAAGTGCTGGGTTGTGAGAAGTTTTTAGCTATGATTCAGTGCAAAATTGAGCCTGTTCTAAAAGGGATAAGCTTCTGGTACAGGTTAGAAATATAACTTAAGGGTCAGTGGTAATTTAGAGGAGTTCTGACACCCCTCTCTTCAATGGGAGCCAATAGCCAGGAAACAGATACTACCTAAGACATTCTCTTCCCTTAGGCTTGTTTTTCTATATTATTATTCTTCTCACAGCTACGTCTCCCTACTCTCCCAGTCTCCAGTAACTCTTAGCCTGGCTCTGTGAATGAAAGTTGATACATAAACAGGATCCTTTCATGGGAAGTTTTTGGGGCTTGTTATTTTTTGTTTGCTTGTTTGGGGTTTTTTGTGGGTTTTTTTTTTTTGGGTTTTTTTGTTTGGTTGGTTTTTGGTGGGGTTTTGTTTGGTTTGTTTGGTTGGTTTTTTTTGTTTTTTTGTTTTGTTTTTTGTTTTTTATCCTTAGTGGGTAGATCAACTCTGATAGCAACATTAGGAAGCATAGAGCCAAAAGCTACATATTACTTATTCAGAAACCCTTTTATCCTCAAGCTCTGTCATGTGCCGATGCATCTCCTTACCAGACCTGAGCATAAGGTGTTAAGAAAATTAAGTTCTCTTAAACTTTTTTCTTCTCCCTGCTCCAGGAGGCATCCAAGGGTGAGCCAATGTCTTTCCCTGCAGACCAGAGACAAATCCAAACAAAATTCCTCCCAGTCTGCCAAATAACAAGTTTGCATCTGCTTGCCTTATAAAAGCAGCAGAAGACATTTCTGTGAGTGGAACCCATTTTGTACAGATTCATCCGTGTAGGAAGATGAGGTGGTTGATGTAATTTCTAACACCGAACATGCTTGCAGGTATATCTGCTTGTCAGACCTACGTCATTCTATTGCAGTTGAAGCCTGGCTTAGACACACAAAGATGTGCCCTTCAGGCACAGGGCAGCTCTCAGAAGGCCACCCACTCACACCTGTCTGGGATGGGCTCTGTGGTTACAGCAACCACCCATCCCAGGCCTGCTCCTTCCACTGGTCCAAAGTGGCAACCACCAGCAGTGGAAGATTCAAGAGATTTTTGCCTCTTGTCCGATTTCACTGCTGTCACCTCAAGGTCCCTTTCCCTTTAGAAAAAGAAGCTGCAGCCAATATTCAGGGGAGAAGGTGTGAAATAAGGAAGGCATTTATTCCTGCCAGCTCACGGAATAGCTCCAGGTGGCATTCCAACAGTCTGCCAGAGCAGCAGGGATCAGGGGAAGCAGCTCCTGGTCACTGCCAAGCACTTATGAAATTCATTTTATGAATGAAGCCGTGGGCCAGGCATCTGTGACCACATGACTTGCCTTAATCTAAAAAAATAAGTCAATCAACTAGTCCTTGCAAGGGCTGGCAGATTTTTCTCCTTTCCCCTTTCAGGCCCACCCTCATCCAGCTGTGAAGGATTCCATGCAAAGGTCAGTCAGGTAGTTACCTTCCAGAGAGCCACTCACCTGACTCCTGCATTGCATACAGGTAGATGAGGTAAGATTTATTTGGGTGCAGTGAGCTGTCAAACACACAGAAGGGTTTTTCTAAAGCAACTGTAGTAAGAGTGGGATTGTTCATAGCGAGCTCAGGGGCTGCAATTTGAGGCTTCAGGCTTTGATCTAAAAAACAAAGTTACCAAAAAAGGATATTGGAAAAAAAACCCAACAAAACCAGAAAAGCTTTCTCCTCTCCCTGTGCAAGCTCTGACTCAAAGGAGAGGGTCTGGCTGTTCCAACAAACACTGAAGCATAAAAAGGGGATGCAAATTGCAGCTGAGCAGGAATCAGCCCTGGGGCAGTCAGAGTTAGGGGTTTTGCTTTAATGCAAAGTGGGCAACCCAAGGATTTAGTGAGGGCAGTAAGGGATGTTGCTTCTTCACCACACGAGCCACATCTCAGGAGGACACAGCCAGGGCTTCATTACAGGAGAGACTCAGACCCCTGTAATTAAGGTCCCACATAGAGCCTCCTCCTCTAGTGGCAGCACCAGCAGTCAGTTCTGGAATCCTTTAGCAGAAAGGTGTTTTAATAAGGTTTTTAAGACCAGACTTACTAATGTACAAAGCGAGAGATTTAGCAAAACCTTATGGAAAAGAAAACTGTCTGGGAGAGGCCCTGGAAAAAGCAAGTGGTATTAGAAGGAACATGCCAGACACTTCCCCCAGTTTCAGTAGAGAAACTTTAAGAGTTTTCCAGCAGAGCACTGAGCTGAATCCCTGAGCTCCCAACACACGTCCTACAGCAGAGAGAGGACAACCAAGACAAAGCAAAAAAAAAAAACCACACACACACAAAAACAAAAACACAACACTAAAATCCAACCAACAAAACACCCACACAACAAAAATCACAAACAAACAACCCCCTCAAAACAAACAAACAAAAAACAACCAAAATCCCCTAAGATAAGCAGGTACAAAGAGAAGAGGCAGATAATATGTTTCTTACCTGCACACAGCTGTCCCAAACAGGAAAACAGTACTACAACCCAAGAGCTGCACATGCCTGAGCCCTCCAGAAACTTCCACAAAAGGAAAAAGACTGTTGGGATTGCAGCCCCTGCTGAAGAGTTCCCACATCCACTGCCTCCCTGCAGGCAGTCACACCTAATTGTCCCCACCAGGTGCCTGCAGTCAGAAACTGCCCACCTCTTCAGCACCTCCCTGTATTCTCACTGCCCCTCCTGCTCGGGTGCTGCCAATCCTCCAGCTCTTACCTGCTGCAGGTGAGGAAGGTGTTGCAGCTTTTGTCTGTACCTGATAATAGTACCTCTGCAGTTCTCAGTGCTGTGGGTATAAACAGGAGCCTTCTGCTTCTGGTTAACCCTGATGTGATTCAGGGCAACTGCAAGAGGAGCAAACCACTGGAAATCTGAATGTGACCTGTTGGGATGAATTGTTGAGCTGAGAATATTCCTGATGAGTAATTGCTGTTACAAATGGTCTGTTACATAAGAGCTCAAATTAAAAAATTATTAATCATCCACTTAAAGTAGACTGAGAGGAAAAAGAAAGTATCGGGGGGTCTTACAGAATTAATGGGGCTAACTTGGTGTCACTGCAGCAACCCTAGATTTACATGGGTATCATCACCCAGGTTACATTCCCAAATCCATCTTCTTCATGGATATAAGGGCCATGAGCCCCAGAAATGTGTTTGAAATGTGTAATCAAATGGTTAGAATGCAATTTCCTCCCCATATGTGCCTCATTGCCTTTCAAATTCTGCACATGGTCCTCAGTGTGTTTGGTTTGACTTTCCTCTCACATAACTTTTTAGGAAGAATATTAGATACAGGAGGTACCCTGGATTTGTGCTGCTGTGGAATAAGAATGAGTTGTATTATTCCTTCTTACTCTACAAGGTACTCTAAACCTGTGCTGGCAAAAGTACTCAGGTAAGTTCTTACCCTTCTGCCTTTTATTCCCAGGAATCTGGTGTGTAGCATTTACACTGTGGTGTTGGTTGTACAAGCTTGGTGCTGCTCTGCTCAGGGGTTTTTATTCTGATGCACAGAATCTGTAAGGTTTCTGACTCCACAGTAAAGCAGAGTTTAACAACAAGAACATCTCTTTCTCCATCATAAAACCAATACTTTCTCTAAACAGTTTCCTGTAAAACCAGATCCTGAATTCTTTAGATAAGTAACCCATGGGCAATCAGCAGTGGCTTTTTTTTTTTCCCTTGAGTATGGACACATTATATGCCACTTGCATGTGGTACAAAATACTCTTCTGACTTTTATTAGAAAGCATTGCTCCCTCATTCACTTTCTAAAGCATCAAAACAACTAACTGGGAAAAAAAAATACCAGTTTTAAGAATCAGCAGCTTAAGGCTGTTGATCACAACAAAATTTTTGTTTTAAAGGTAGAACTCTTTTGTTTGGTTTTTCTTTTGAGATTTTTGGTCACAGGATGACAATTTTACCCACTGTTTTGCATGTGGCTGTTTTTCTAAGCCATCATGTTTTAGCTGGGTGCTAGGCCACCCTGTGGCAGAATTCCCCAGCCAGGAGGGATAAATTGCCTGTAAAGTTCTAAAATTGTTGGGTTCGCTCCATCCTCAAAAAAGTCTCAAACAAAGGTAGGAAATGAAGATGACAATGAACCCTCTCAGCACCATCTGTGCTGGCAGATGTGTCCTAAATTAGGGCCAGACCTCATCCTTGCTTACATTTGTGTGAATCCATATTAACTGCATGGAAGTCAAGGGAGCTGGTCTGGATTAAAGGATGTTACCCTGAACAAAGGGAACCTTGGTATAATTCCAGTGTTCCCTGAAGGAAGTGCAAGAGAAGACATCAATGCAAATTCCTTTGTCTTCAGTTAAAGAACAATGACAATTTTCTTGCTCTTTGTTGCCTTGTGGGCAATTCTGGAGTCATTTATAGAAGCCTCTAGAGTCAGTTTGGATTTATTGCTCCACGACAACAAAACTTTCAAGGAAATGAAAGAGCATTATCACAGAATCATGTCATGCTGACATTATTTCTTTTTATAAGTGGCTCAATTTAGAGGTTTACACAGCACAAGACAAAAACTATATATTTTAACTGAAAGAAAAATATGTATTTTAATTGTGGGACAACAAAGCTGGTGAAGGGTCCTGTGAGGAGCAGCTGAGGGAGCTGGAGGGGCTTAGCCTGGAGAAAAGAAGTCTCAGGGTTGAGTTCATCACTCTCCAATTCCCTGACTGGAGGAGGAGCTGGGTCGGGCTCTGCTCCCAGGGAACAAGGGACAGGAGAGGAAACGGCACCGAGCTGTGCCAGGGGAGATTCAGGCTGGACATCAGGAGGAATTTCACCATGGAAAAGGTGATTAGACATTGGAATGGGCTGCCCAGGGAGGCAGGGAAGATACCATTTCTGGAGGTGCCCAGGGAAGGACTGGCTGTGGCACTCAGTGCCAAGGTGCAGTGCACAAGGTGGTGTCGGGTCAGAGTTGGACTCGATGAGCTCAGAGGTCTTTTCCACCTTGATTGATTCTGTGATTCTCTGATTTATTTACTGACTTAAACTCAAGGAGAACAAAGAAAGAGAAAGCCCACGTCTCCTTTGGAAACGCCCATCCAGTAAAGTGGCAGCATTTCAAAGTATGTAGTTGATTTATACCCCTAGAAAACGAACTATTTCTTCCCTGCCCACCCCTAAGCCCCTTGATCGGGAGGTAATGGCTGCACTTCCAGGAGGCAGAGAGGGTTCCAGACCCACGGCTCCCACGGAGCTGGCGGCCTCCGTGCCACATCAGAGCCACCCCGAGGTGTCTGTGAGCTGCAGGCAGAAGCGGTGCCAGCCAGCACTGCCAGCGCAGGTGTTTGCGCCTCTGCAGGGAGTGTGTGTTAGCGGTGTTTGGCAGGGGGACACTCGGTCGGCCGGAGCTGGAGCTGGCTGGGAGGGGATGGAGGGCTGCGAGGCTCTGGTGTGCTGGTCGGTGGCTGTGGCGCTGATTTCTTACTCCGCGTTGCCACCTGGTGGATGGACTCAAAGGTGACTTGGTGCCTGCTCTGCTTTTGCGTTTGGGAGCATTGGGGGCTTTTTGGGTTTTCCCCGTTCGAGATTCCCCCGTTCGAGAAAAGGGAAGCCCAGAAAATGTAACCATTGTAGGGAAGGAGTGTAGAGAGCATTAAAAAATGTGGCAACAGGGCACAGGCATCCCAGAATTTGTCAACAGACAGGGAGTATCTGCTAATATTCATTCACCCCTCTGCACTAAACAAAGCTTGGCAGATTTCTCTGTGCCTCTGTTGCCATCTCTGGCTCTCCTTGTCTCGTTTGTTCCACTCTTTTCCTTATGCTTTGGAGCTTCCAAGGGCTATATGGAGTAAGTAAAAACCCCTGAATTTCTGCTGCTTAGGAAAAATTAATCAATGGGCTCATAGTTTTACACTATTTCTATTGCAAATAGCAACCTCATTAATTTGCATTGGCACCCAAAAGATTCTTTGGGATACATTGCATTTTCCACATCAGTAATTTGATCAACAGAAGAAAGATCTCAACAAATGCCTCAAGTAAACATCCCTTGTCCAATTTAATACTAAATGAAGCAATAAATTACCACAGTGAAACTTCTGAAAATCTAAGGAGCAAAAAAAACCACTCCTTGGGAATGTCAAACATTGTTTTAACTGTATCTTTGAAGGGGAAAAGTTTGGCTGCAGAGATGCTCATCTATAAATCGCAAAAAAACCCTTCCAATTAGAAAAGCTTGTGGAATTAAAAGATCATTTTCCTCAAAGAAGCCACACACTCATTTTAGGTGAACAGTCTTTCTGGAATAGCATCTAAGGCCAAAAGAATTTATTAGACGAGAAAATTAATAGATGTTTTCATACTTTGCACTTCAAGGCATTTGGTGGCTTAAGATTTCCATCCTCGGTGCTTACACATGGTTGTGTCACTGCTACAAATAAAAACATCCTGGAACATGTTCAGCTCCAAAAAAAGGTCTGTCAGGTAAGAAATTATATATCTGTGGTGCACACTGAGAGCATCCTATGGGGGCATTCCAGTAATGTAGGGCAGGAGTTTTAATATCAGGAAGTGTGGAACAGTTCTGTCACTTCATTTGCACAAAACAATTTCTTCCACAGTGGGTCCCAAACCCTGTTGAAGTACCC